CTAACTAAAAAATAATAACTACTAACTAAAATAAAATAAATTAAATAACTAATCTAAAAAATGCACGGTCAAAAGTTTATGAGTGTCAATAATAAAACTAAGATACCAGGAGAATGCTTATAGACTATATTTACCTATTTTCACTCCCTACTATTTTTATTTCAACATGAGATAATGATTTCAGTAAAAGGTGTTGCAAAATGTTTATGCTTTAATTTTATTTATAAATCTTAAAGAAATCTACGACGACTGTCCGTCGCAGCCAAGCAAGATAGTTCTAATCTGAGACCAAAGTTGTGTCCTTTAGGCCTACTTCATCCACTAGCCAGTTCCCACTTCTTTGGGATGATCGGTCTCGTCATAGTATTCAAAAATGTTGTGGAGGAAAACTAACGCTCCCGCCATGTAATATTCACAATCTGTGATAAAGATGTACTTGGTCATATTAGTCAATGGCTATTGAAGTCCATCACAAGTCAATGAAGGTGAATGAAGTAAACAGTGATGTACAAATTGTGCCCAAGGAAGAGTCAGCGGGTGTGTGTAGGTGCTACGACGTCTCTATAAGACTATCGACGATACGGTAAGCCCTGGAAGTCTGAAACACCCTGATCAGCAAGCAAAGTTTCTACAAGTTCAATCACATTCTCGATGAAAACAGATGAAAATCTGATACCGACCAGGCTGTAGGTAAATAGGCTGTAGGCTGTAGGTGTGTTGTAGGTAATAGAAAATACGTACTGGCTTCTGCAAACTACCTGAACCACTCATGCACATTATCTACATTTAAATACTTTTTCCTACAGTCACCCGACAAAGTTGGCTTCCTTATACTGTTTATAGTACAGAAAGCTGCTAATTGCTGCATATTTATACTTTGTCGTACCGTTTATACTTTGGCGCACATCAGGAATCCAACGAAACAACACAAAACAGTGTGGTTCTATTATGCACGTAATCTGTGTACGCTTGGAAATAGGTTGGCAACACTTAAAGAAAATAATACTATGAGCAGCTGATTGACTATTATAACTACGATTTAACCTGTAATTTTGTGTTTATAGTTTATGTTCTCTTTTAGGTATCTCTGAACTTTCTGGACTTTTAAACGTTTTTATAACATTCCTACGATCTTAATAAACAAGAAAATACCTTTAAAGCATTTTTTTAGGTGCGGAAACCACTGAAAATTACAAAAATATACGGAACTATTTTCTCAAGTTGCGGAGCACATTGCTTGCCGAGGAAAAACTAGTGGAGTGATACGGACCGGGGACTACTTTCTCTAGGGCACCTATTTGTGTTGCCAGCTGAACCTAAAAACGTGTTGTATAGTGTTTGAAAGACTAATTATTTGTATGCTTTATAGTGACTGTAGGAAAAATATAATGTGTAAAACAAGTGCAAAAGGCCTTTGCTGCACTCGAGATCATTCGTAAACGTTGCTCTCGTGTGCAGCAAAGTGCCACTTTGCTCACTATTTACACAAATAACTATTCTTTATAGTTTATACACATCTGTCAACTTTAAACTGTAATCAAAGGGAATTGAACACTCTCCTTTAGAAACCTAATCACAGATCACGCGGTAGCGTCAATTATCATTATCTTTCATGATGTTTACAAATACCATGACAAGACTAATTGTAGAAGTGGAAATTGGCAAGAATATTACTGGAAGAAGCAAGGAACACTATGGGCCGGTTTCGGAGCTCGGGACTAACGCTATTCCTGGACTAAAATCCAGTTCAAACCAGTTTTTATTCTAGGACTAAAAAATCGGGTTTCGGAGCTCCAGGATTACGCTAGTCAACGACTAAGTCTATTCCGAGAGTTACATAGTCCCTGAATTACTCTCATGGGTTTCGGAGTCACGGGCTACTTAATCCTCGAATTAAATGTTATTCGATCGGGTTTCGGAGCCAAATATATAATCCACAACTGGGCAACAAAGACTAACTCGAGGAATAAATATGAGCAATTTTTAGTCCAGGTGAAGGGCAGGATTAAGGGGCGGACTAACTTAACTTTTGGCGTAAGTACTCAATTTGTGAAGTTGTATCTATATAAATGCCAAATTCTTAATCGTCATAAAATTTACTGGCAATTTCATTCCTCTTGATATTTTTCCTTAAAATTTTATTTTTCTCTTAAGTATATATGCAAAATCATCTTTGAATGAAACCCGTTTATCTACAATTTATGCTCAAGACTATAATAGGCCAAACGGTCCCTAAAATTAATATTATAAGGTACTAAACGTAGATTTTAAAATAATAATATAACGAAGACAGAAAGAAAAACTTAACTGTATGAAAAAAATAATATAGGGCCTATCAAACCTAAATACGTATTTAATACGCGGTACATAATGTTACATAGGGTTACATGCATTTAAATGGTCCATTTTAACGAGTTTTTGGGGACGTTGGTTTAACCGGAAACCCCGTTATTCGGACTGGCCTCGGCACTGAGGAGTCCGGATAGTCTACTGTAATGCAGTATTTTACTAAGGAATACTTTTAACCAAAATTAACAGTATGCCTAACGAAAAAAGACTTCTGTATTAGTATTATTTTCAATTGAAACTCATATCTATCTATCTATACTATTATAAAAAAGAGGTGGTTGCTGTATGTGTGTATGGGAAAAGTAAACTCGAAAAATACTGGTCGGATTGGGCTGAAATTTGGTATGATGATAGCTCCCATTCCCGATTAACATATAGGCATATTCTTATTTCAAAAATCCTTTCGGGCTCCGCCCCAGTGGCTCTGGAGTTTCCCATGTTAACCTTATGAGAAATGGAATTATTGAATCTTAACAGCTGTTTCAATTAAACAAGTTGGTTCTGTTCTATGATGTTCAATAGCATTAAAGTTACAAGGATTACCAACAGGGTGCAGCACTATTATTTCTTTTACATTTATGACAACAGCTAATTTGCAACCAAAAGGTGAGTGAGCGTAGCGAACGAACTTCAACCTGGAGGCGAGTTAGCGTAGCGAAAGAGCTAACCTGAAGGCAAGTGAGCGCAGCGAACGAGCTCCAACCTAAAGGTGAGTGAGCGTAGCGAACGAGCTCCAACCTAAAGGTGAGTGAGCGTAGCGAACGAGCTCCAACCTAAAGGTGAGTGAGCGTAGCGAACAAACTTCAACCAGGACGTGATTGAGCCATGCGAACGAGATAATCTTGAAAATTAAGAAGTTAAACGGGGCAAAGCCCGCGGGTTGCAGCTAGTCTAGTATAATAATTTGGAATTTGGTTAAATAACAAATATTTCAGCCGTGAGCTAACTCGGATAACCTGGAGTCTCAGATAACCGGAGCTCAGATGATTGGAAGTTAACTGAAGTTGCTTGGACACCTACTTAATCTCTACTACATATTGTACTTCCAGATGAATTGTTAAAATGCAAAACAATCAGAGAACACAAATACATTCTAAGCAGATAAATTATAACTATGCCTACTCTTAGAGCGTTAAACCAACAAATTGTTGTAATAATGATAATTTTTTACGGTTGATTTGCATTCAAAGAATAATAAAATATTTCCCTTTATGTTTTTTATCATCATACAGTATTCATTTCAAAATAATTGTAAGACCTTAAATAGACAATTATTGGGGTTTGCATTAGGATTACAAAAGTCGCAACCAATCTCTAATATCTCAAATGCCTACAGTTTTTAGATTCTCATAAAAAAATAACTTGGACAAAGTAAAGGCATAGGCTAACACATTTGACACCTTATTCTTCAATCGGGAAGTTTTTTTTTTATCAAACTTAACAGCAGTAAATAAACCTTCAGGTTTTTTTTTTGTAAATGATGGTTCACATAACTGGGTTTTTTATTTCGGCATACGTTTTTGAACACGATATCTTCTTTTAGTTACCATCTTCAGTGAAACTCAAGGAATCATTATTCCAACTGATAAGTGATTAGAACCAGACTAGAGAGTAGACACCACAGAAATTGTTAGTACGTTTTCTGTGGTAGACACTAATGTATGAGCGCTGACCGTGAACAACTTTGGCAGGTATCGTCTTAAATTCGTCTGTCCGCTGCCCCTACCACCACTCAAAAACTAAAATTCCCCGTGATTCCTACCTTAGTCCTAGAATAAGTAGTCCAGAAGTTGGGGAATAAAGTTAGTCGTCGAATAGACTAGTCTGCGGACTAGGGAGTTAGTTCGCGAGCTCTGAAACCCGATTTTTTATTCAATGACTAACTTTATTCACTGATTAAGTAACTCCAGGATTACGTATTCCCGAGCTCGGAAACCCGCCCTATGTAGGTCTGAGATTTGAACTAGCTAGTTTGACTGCTACGGGAGCTTGATGGATACCTTGATTTATGGAAGAATCAAGCATTTGGGAGTGAGGACATGGCCTAAATGGGGAAAGTTGTTTAACTTCTGGACATATTCACACTACTAATTTGTCCAGATTGACTTTTGAATCTGGCCGCCATGGAGTGTAAATATTGTAAATATTAGTTTATTTAATTTTTAAAAGTAAATTTTATCTGACAAGATCAATCCAGACATCTGGTCAGCGATCGCCAGTTGGTAATGTTAATGGTAATGGTAAGGGGCCCTATGATTCACATCTATGTCAACAACCATAGTGTTGTGAAGTCCCAGGTACATTACCACCCTTCTTATTGCCACCAACACAGCTCAAACACCCTCTCTAACTGGTGCGAGATGCCAAAACAACCTCTCTACCTGGTGTGAGAAGCCCAAACAATTAACCCTTCTAACTGGTGCGAGAAGCCCAAACACCCCTTCTAACTGGCGTGAGAACTCAAACATCCTCTCTAAGTATTCCACGAGAAGTATTATGACATTTCTATAACACCACATCATATATCACAGTTTGATCTATTTGCCCTACTCTGTTTTTCTAGCCCACTATTTCCTAACTACAGTACCTACATTAAACCATTTGATTGTTGTTTTAGAGCAAACAAAAGAAACAATCTGCACATTCCATACCTGAACTCTAAACGTAGGTATCGTAGAGTCTTCCCCTCTTCTGGCAAAATCCTCGTATATAAAGTCTGGGTCATCCACAAAGTGTCCGATGCTCGGCGTGATACGGAGACCTGCGCTGGTGCCTAGTTCTACACTCTGCAGCTCCACTCTCTCAAAGCGCTTGGCTCGCTCCTCTGCGGAGAACTCCTCCTGCTGCTCTGACAGTGTTTTCATCCGCTGCATGAGTGTGTCCACGCCCACACCGGTGTCCATATCACTAGTGTAGCCCTCGGAGCTGATGGTGTCGGTCGTCTCGCTCGCGTCCACTTCTTCACTCACTCCGCAGCCGTACACGAAGCTGCACAAACAGTGGAAGTGGACCAACAACACAATGGCGTGAACCACCTCTGACAGAGACCAGTTGTCTGTGCCCTTCGTCAACATCTGTCAAAAAAACACCTGAGCTATGAATATTACTATTTAATTGACAGAAGTTAATAAGAAAGGTTATAAGGATCACAAAAAAGTTGTTAATGCTTTAATACTTTATTCTGAAATGGCAACCGTACGAATGTAGGTATTTTAAGCCAAGTATGAATGGAGTTAAGTGTAGAATGATGTGATGAGATCTTGTAATCTTTGTTAGTGACTAAGGCCGACATATTCCTTAGACATAGCTGTTAATTAATGGCTCATAAAGCCAGTGGCAACTAAGAGACCTATTTTGCCTTGTAATTAACGAATTGGTCTAATTATCAGGATAGTACTGCGGATAGTCGTAGTACTCACTAGTGCAGATGTTAATCCACACCAGGGAGCATTGCTTCCACAGTGCATCCCTAAAAATATCCACATGAGATTTTTAAAGTCTAAAAATAATTATAATCAGCTAGTGTCGGGCAAAATGTATTATCGTACAGTAGTAGGTAATGGAATCCCATTTGATTAAGCAGGTGGCTTACAGCTTTTTTCCGGAAAAAATTCTTGAGTAGAAAGTCAATTAAAACAATTGAGGCAAAAAATAATTTCCTGTATTGTTGCCAAAAGTATAAAACTACAATTCCAACACGGTTATAATTTGTGAAGTAATGTGGGGCAGAGGACATCTCAATACCTGCTTCAATAAAGGATTAGATGTATTATTAGATAGGATTAGGTAGTATTAGAATAGTAAACCTTCGATAGGCCGAAACTCCTTGTAGTTCAACATGGGCTGAGCTATTTTGTCAAGTGATATTTAATGGTTACTATTGTGATGTAAGCTGACTTGAATATTAATTTGTCATTTATTGTTGACGTGAGACTAATTAACAGTGAAATTGTTAAGCTTTTTAGTATTTAATAAATTTGGGTGATTTCTATATAGGCCTAAACTTGTGTTTTACTTTCCTGTATATTAAACTCCATTTACTCCCTATAGTTCGGCATTTTGATAGTTCGACACCCCTAGGTCCACAAAGTATCGAACTATCGAGGTTCTACTGTATTAGATAGCATTTGTTGGAGCAGAACTGATGAGTTTCCTTTGTTAAACTGCATACACATTGCATAAGTAGGGGTTGACAGGGGAACTAACTTTGCTCTAAAAGTTAAGGTCTAAATGTCACTTTCACTAATGATAATTTAATTAAAAAATATATTAAAAATTGTATTCAGCACCGGGAAGATGATTTTTCAATTGCTTGTAAACATGACTAGTAACAGAATAAAAATCTGATAAGGATTGTTTAAAAAACAATTTAATAACTTGTGTTATATAACACAAGTTATAAGTCTCTTATAGTCTTAAGAGTTACACTTAAGTCCCTTCAAACTACAGTGTCTGGGATTTCCAACTAGAGCTCCATGGTTCAGTTTGGCAAAGCATTTTGTTCATAAAATGATAGCTATTCATTGAAAAACATGTTTTACCAAGTGTATCAATGAGGATCCAGTTCAGATTTTTTTTAGGTAAAAAGGTTTACCTCCATGTTGGATGGTAATTTTCTTATAGTGGCTTATCCTCATCTATGGTATATACAGTAGACTTCCTCTTATCCGGACACCTTTAAACCGGATATCGACTTAGCCAGATTACACTCGGCAGAAGTGACATTTATTTTTTATCGGCACATTGGTTTAACATCGTGCCTGCATAAACCTAATTATCAGTGCCAAGGTATTGAAGTTCTGTGGCTACGTCAGAAAGATTGATTTGTTCTCTACCTTGATGTGGGACTTGTTGAGCAGCCATGGCCGGTGAGCCAAAATCTTGTTGATCTCGTACAGGTTCCGCAGCTTCTGAGGGATGTGTGCCAAGCCCTTCAGCCAAGTCTTGTCCCCTCCCTGCATGAGGAACTCCTGTTTCTGCAACTGCACCAGGTAACTGCACTGATGTCTCCCAGCAGCCTGCAAAGTAACAAGGAAAATAAGCCAGTATAACAAGTTTTGGCTGCAATTGGTTTGCAAGGGTTCCCACAAGGTTCCCTTTATGAGGTTCACTGGTTTAATTGGTGCATCAACCCATACTATGAACAAAAGGTGACAGAAAAAGCTGTTTCATAAGAAGTGTTGTATGTAAATTAAGGTCTTCAACATGTTCACGTCGCAGCCAAGTGAGCTACTAGCTAGTTCAACTGCAATACCAGCACCGTAATCTTTACTTTACCGTAGCCAGCTTAATAATTGGAAATTCTCCTTCTCCACTGACAGGGGACATGTAAATGTTTTAAGCCAATCCTGCTTAAAACATATTGATTAAGCGATTGTGGTAATGATTTTATAGTATACGAGCTTTTGGTACGTCCTACTTATGGGAATTGAGTAGTCAATTAAAACTGGATATAATTCAGAACAGCTACAAGCATTAAGACAAATTCTGACAGTTTCATGGGAAAATCATCTTGTAAACAAATCTCAAGTGACCACCTGTTTCTGTCATCCAAGAGAAGGCCTATCTCGATAGACCTATACTGTAATTTTACAATAGAAGAGCAATTGTGTCAATTTAAAAAGCCTTGAAGTAAGATTGATGGCTGATTCACACACACACACTGGTTTCAAGCTACATACCACCTTCCATTGCATACTATCACTTACCATACCTTATCTTACCTCCGTGGTCAGTGAAACCTTAAGAGGATTCTGGCCTAATCCTCTTCTAACCCCTGCCTCTTTTAATTTAGATACCAGTCTGGAGATGTCTTTCATTACTTGGTCTTTCCACTTCATTCTTTGTCTTCCAAGTGGTCGTATATTTTATGGCACTCCTTAGAATACACTTTTAAAAGTTGTTGTATCTTCTCTCCACGATTCCACCATGCATCATAGCCTTTCCATCGGAGCCTTTCACTTTTGGCAAAACACCCCTATATCTTGGTGTTCATACATTTCTCTTAGCTCTTTGTTCTTTTGTTGTATCTCAATCTCCAGTTATCTTGAACTGGTCCATATATTTTCTCCACACTCTATTCTCAAACCCAGCAATGAGGTTTTTCGGTTCTTGATCAGTGTCCAAATTTATGAACCATACATTACAGTACTACTTGGATGGTTATGGTATGGTATGAATCGATTTTGGAGTTTTTTCTTAAGACCTACTACTACACCGGTTGAAATTTTTATTACAAACCCAAATTTTGTATGTTGACATACACAAATTTGAACACCAAGAAAAGAAGTATCAACCCAATATGTAAACCACTTATATCTTTAACGATTAAAAGATGAATTAACATTTTCATGGCATAAACCATAAACCAATACTTCTTCATTTCCTGATATCGCAGATGCTTTACAGTAGGAATCTGACTAAATTTTAAAGTGAAATAGTATGTAGGCAAACACCGAGACGATCAATATTTTAAACAAACAACTTGTAACATAATAAACATTTCAATGATAGTAAGAAACCAGCTGTTAAGTCTTAACATTGTTAGCGTCGGGTGCTGGACTTTTTAAAATTAATTTCTAAAAAACTAAAACCTCAAACTAAAATTATGGCTTTAACATTAATTTCCTTTCAAAACTATCTTTCTTTCAACACAAAAATCATGAAAATCCGCCAAGTGGTTGATTCAGAATCAAGAAAAAAACCCTGTCACGTTTTTAATATTTAAGATTCTCAATGTGTAACTGCGTGTACTTCTGATACCTTACTGAAGGACTCAATATTTTCCCTATTTCTACATCAATCAACACTGTATATAAAAGCAAATCCTGCAGTTGAACATACAAAGTGAAAAGTAAAAATGAAACGTTAAAACAAAAACGGGACTGAACATTATGATTGGGAGACAATACAGTGGGTAATCAAATATGTGGTAGACACTGGACTAAGCAACTTACCATGATAGCAATATAGTGCCTATAGTCGTAAGGTAGTGGACCATCCCCTCGCAGAATGAAGTTCTGAGTCCTCAGAAACACGTCCAGATACTTGGGATGTAGGCCCATCACCTGGGTCACATGGTCCAGCCGGTTGTTCTGCAGAAATGCATCTATCAACAGCGCATGAGTCTGAAACATGACATCAATCATTTAAACTAAAATACATTTCATCATACTTACTTTGAAGATTATTATTGGAATACAATCAAAATAGACTCTATTCAATATTTAAAGCAACCCTGGCATAACACCAAGACCTTAAGTGTCCTCCTATTTCACTTCAGACTGTATTATAAGGATTTTATTTTACTTGTCTATTTAACTTAGATAGGCTACCTAATATTAGGTTGGGCATTTTTTTAAACACAACTTCAACTAGTCCAAAAATGAGATTAGGGTATTATTAATATATGAAACTCAGGGCCAGATTATCCACTGGACTATGGTCTAGAATATAGATGGTGTCGGCCAATACTGTAGCACTTTTTTAAAAGCACTAAAAAGTAGAAATTTATAAATATGTGAAGAGAATAAATACTTGTAAGATTTAAAACGAAAAACGTTGGGGGCATAAAATGGCTAATTAATGAAAACCCCCTCTTTATTAGCTATTGCATGCGCCCAACGTTTTTCGTTTTCAATCTTACAAGTATTTATTTTCTTCACATATTTATAAATTATTTTCTACTTTTTAGTGTGTTTAAATGAAGTGTGGTTATTTTAAAGGATTTTTAATTTATAAATTAGTAGCTGTACCCGCGGGCTTTGCCCCGTTTTACTTTATAAGTGAGCTTGTTCGCATGGCTCAATCACGTCCTGGTTGAAGTTCGTTCGCTACGCTCACTCTGGAGCTCGTTCGCTGCGCTCACTTGCCTTCAGGTTAGCTCGTTCGCTACGCTAACTCGCCTCCAGGTTGAAGTTCGTTCTCAATCACGTCCTGGTTGAAGTTCGCTACGCTCACTCACCTTTTGGTTGCAAATTAGCTGTTGTCATAAATTTAAAAAAATGTAATAGTGCTAAACCCTGTTGGTAATCCTTGTAAGTTTTTCAAAACTATCTTTCTTTCAACACAAAAATCATGAAAATCCGCCAAGTGGTTGATTCAGAATCAAGAAAAAAACCCTGTCACGTTTTTAATATTTAAGATTCTCCCTGCTCGTTAAGTAAGTCGTTAAGAGTTCTGAGGACTCTATATGAGCTACTGACAAAGGTAACTTAAAACCATTTATTTAATGCTTTTGCATATCATAGAACCAACTTTTTAGTTGAAACAGCTGACTAAATTCTTCCCTTTTAATATGAATACTCATAAGGTTAACATGGGGAACTATAGAGCCACTGGGGCGGAGCCCGAAAGGATTTTTGATATAAGAATATGCCTATATGTTAATTGGGAATGTGAGCTATCATCATGCCAAATTTCAGCAAAATCCGTCCAGTGGTTAATGCGTTTACTTGTCACAAACATACATCCATACATCCATACATCCAAACTTTCTCATTTATAATATTATAATATAATATAATATAATATAATATTAGTAGGATTTTCTAGTTTTTAGTCATAAATGTGTAAATATGTTAAATCTATTTTATATGGCCTGTTAAATCAAACCAAACCCCTTTTAACAGTAATCAGATGTTGTTGCTAATCTTACTAATATTATAAATGTGAAAGTTTAGATGTATGGATGTATGGATGGATGTATGTTTGTGACAAGTGAACGCAAAAAATACTGATCGGATCGGGCTGAAATTCGGCATGATGATAGCTCATATTCCCGATTAACATATAGGCATATTTTTATCCCAAAAATCCTTCCGGGCTCCGCCCCAGTGGCTCTGGAGTTTCCCATGTTAAACTTATGAGAAATGGAATTAATGAATCTTAACAGCTGTTTCAATTAAACTAGTTGGTTCTGTTCTATGATGTTCAATAGCATTAAAGTTACAAGGATTACCAACAGGGTGCAGCACTATTATTTCTTTTACATTTATGACAACAGCTAATTTGCAACCAAAAGGTGAGTGAGCGTAGCGAACGAACTAACCTGAAGGAAAGTGAGCGCAGCGAACGAGCTCCAACCTAAAGGTGAGTGAGCGTAGCGAACGAGCTCCAATCTAAAGGTGAGTGAGCGTAGCGAACGAACTTCAACCAGGACGTGATTGAGCCATGCAAACGAGATCATCTTGAAAATTAAAAAGTTAAACGGGGCAAAGCCCTCGGGTTACAGCTAGTATTCTCATACTAATCATAAAACTTTGGAATCTCAGGGGAGCAGAACCTATCCCTCTTAACCTAAAACCTCTGCTCTTTAAAGAAACGGTCAAATTAATAAATTTACAGCTGACTTCAAATGATATATTATTTACATTCTTCCAAAATGTAAACACTGATACTTTGGAAGCCCATGGGGGTGTAGCCCAATATGAAAATTAAATGATTTAATATTGCATTGTCATCCATTTGTGAGCTATATGTTTCAAGTATCTAGCTCATCGGGAAATTAATTTAAAATTGGATTGCAAAATTTGTACCAAACAGACAAGAAAGCGAGCTAATAAAATTGTCTTAAAATGTGATAAAATAAAATATTTATCTACGGTGAAAATCAACTCTTACTCTTATTCTTATGGTACTGTACATTCAAGCATTAATTATATCACTTACAAATGAATGACTAAATACTCCCACCGCAGCTAACCTACAGCCTGAGGATTTGATTTAACCATAACACTTCCATAAAAATCAAGGGATATTTACTCCCCATTTAAACAGTAACATTAAATTTAACGAGTGCTAAGGTTTGCTGCTACTGTTACGGGGAAATTAAAAAGTGGTTGTTTGACCAAATGTTGATAGTATACAATGAAATAAATAAATTTGCTTAATTGGATCAACATAATATGTCCATAAATAATAAACTACAACGATTTTATTTTTCTCCTAAGAATAATTTGGGGAATTTCTCTATTACTTTTAATTGTACAATGACACTACAACATACGACATTTTTAATCCTTACATGATGGTTTTAACAAAATGTTGGTATTTCCATGTTTTAGGGGTAAAAAGCTAAAAAAAAAATATTTTCGAAAATTGTAAACCCCCAAATTACCCCGTTCCTATGACCCGATCTTGCTGGTTCGCGAACGCATAAATGGTGCCACAATTTACATATAAATAAAGGGAACATTGTTTATTCTCAAGAGAATTTATGAGGCATTCGTTCCGGACCGAGTGGTCAACATGAAACGTCAACAATGCCAGCTCTATGGCGGGGACGACGCCCTTGGACCACTTCCTTTTCCTGTTTACTCCGTGGCGCTGCTGGTATAATGTGATATGGTTAATGTTGAGGGCCGCCGAGCATAGCATATCATAAAAATATGTTCTAAATGCTTTGAAAAATGCCGCTTTTAAAAGTTACGTGGTTTAAATCCCTGTTGATAAATTAGAATGCGTAAAAAATAGCGCAATACGGTGTTTTTAAAGGAATACATCCAGGAAAGTATTTAGGTATTCAATTTGAAGACTATGGGGGTGGAAAAAGTCCCGGGACGGTAAAATATTTTAATCAATAACAAAGATAGAGCTTCAAAGCTTGGTACACAGTTATTGGGCATTAAAATAACTTAAAAAAAAACATTATTCAATGATACGCTACCTCCTCGCCTAGGGAGACCCCGGCTAGGGGTCAGACGAAAATCTTAAATGGAAGCATAGGTTGATATGCACGTCAAATTAAAGGTCCTTGTTAGTAAATTACAATGCCGCAAACCCGAACTTAAACGGACAACCGATTAAAAAAAATCCTTTTCTATTAAAATACAACGACGTAAATTTGAAATCAGACAACCGAGTCATAAATGAGAGCCTTTCAAAGATGTCTCGAATGTGCCTTTTTGAATCTTTAAACAGTTGTCATTTTTTTACTCAGTTGTTCTTTTAAGCTCAAATTTGCGGCATTGTATTTTGCTAAAAATGTCCTGTAGTTTAAGTTTAAGTTTTTCTTCTGACTCCTAACATGACGTCCCTTGGGGAGTTAGCGTATCACTGAATAATCTGTTAAAATGATTTTAATGCCTAGTGACTTTTTACCAAGTTTTGTAGCTTTATCTTGATTATTTTTAGCAAATTTCCCATATAGGGAGTACGCTATTACCGTAGGTCTCATGGTAAGACCCGATTTACTTTTTCTTTTTGAGGTCCCCAAAGGCCAAAACACCCACCGTTCAAATTCTAACAGTAAATAGATCAGTCCTATTTATTAAATTATACAATATAACAGAAGGTAAAGGCGTAAACCTAGTGTTTGTGTTCTTTACATCATATGAGTTCCAATCAGCCACCCACGTAATGTTAATCTCAAGCGCATACAAGTACACGACCACAGGTCAAAGGCTTGTAGCTGCCATCTGTTGGCGCGTATTTTTAACTGATGTTTGGCAAAACAACAGCTGACTGCAACGAGAACAGGTGCACCAACATTCCGTCACTGATACGAGAATCGTTGCCAATTGAGACATATAATTAGTCTCGAAAGAATCATGTGCATACTTATATCTTTATACAGTACCATATTGTATCTTTATACGTATTGGCTCATTATTCAAAATCAGTTCATATCAGACCTTCAACAACCCATACAAAAGTTAAAAAAAGGTTAGTAATTTTCTACTGAAGATTTATTTTTTATTTTTTATTTTACATTTTACTATTAATACAATTAGAAATTAATGCCAATCCCATGTTATAGCTGTAGCTAGTTTTAGACGTACGTGAACCACCACCAGAGTGCGCAGATGTAAATTGCTGTTATTTGTCGAATAAGCCAATTTTCGAACCAAGTCAAACTAAAAGTACGTGTACATGTTATGTGACATGCATATGTCACATAAACTATTTCTTTAATGCCAAAAGATGCAGAGCACACACGGTGAGTGGGTAACTGAACTACTACGTTTGGAGTAGTTCAGAATACAAATCAAACTAGTACGTTTGATTTGTATTCAAATAACAATATTGGTTTCAGCTGGTCCATTGTAGATGGAAAGTCTACTTCATTATAACAAATGTTCAATTGTGTAACTATAAATGCCCAAGTGAGCAATAACATAACCGTGTT